ATGGGGCAAACAAATGTTCTGATAGAGTTAATGTGGTTTAATTAGAAGAACTCAAACAGTGAATTTCACAGAAAAAACGCAGCGTGCATGCGCAGCGATACATTCCTGTCACAGCAATCTCTCATCAGGAGGAGAGAGTTTGTCACTCATACAGAGTTGGACAGATCTGTTTGATAACGACGCTCTGAACATATATTTAATATAAAGTTAAGTTTTACAGACCAAAGTCTCTGGTGGCTCATGAGTAAACTGCAGGAGGAGATGTCAGGACTGACCGCCGCAGCGACTTGACTCGCTGCTTCAACCAAACCTGCTCTCACTGCAAGTCCCGCCCTGCTCTGCCCTGATTGGATAAAAAGGCTCTGGACTTTGCCTGATTTGTTGAAGGCAGTGTCCGTTTATTCCTTGTATCAGGGCCCCGCTGTCTTTAGAGGCTTTGAGCACCAAACAACGATCCAGTCACTCCACAGTTCAGCTGGATTTTTTAAAATCTTTTTATTTTTTAAGAAATCAGGTCACATTTGCGACTAAACTGGTGACACTCTAGAGCCCTGCTAGCTGTTGTTTTGACAGACAATCAGGTACAATCTTAGGTATGCAAGTGAGCTTTATGACGTTCCATCTGATGCGCTTTTTCTTTTTTTGACTGCACATGCGCACCTGCGCAACGCTTATGTGTAACTCTGGTAATAAATGACATGCCACTAGGTGCATCCCAAAATTGTAGTGATTTGGGTGGGGGTCTTTATTTTATTTTATTTTTTGGGTGGGGGGGCATTGGTTGACCTGATTGATAGCCCCTCATTAGAACTAAACAACCAACGATAATCTGGAGCTCCTATGTTTAATAGTTTTTGAGCAATAACCATTTTTGCATGTCCAGACACCACTTTTTCAGATAAATTGGGGGTCCGAGGGGTGGGGGCACTGATTGGTGGGCCTGATGGATAGAGCTTCATCAGAGCTAAACAACAAAAGAAATCTGAAGCTCCTATGTTCAACAGTTATAAGCATTTTTGCATGTCCACATACCCCCACTTTGAAAGGAGCCCCCTCCTCAAATATGGGGTCTTTCGTAAAACCGTTGGCTGGCGCAGTGTAGGCCTGGCTCATCTACAGTCCGAGGGGTGGGGGCACTGATTGGTGGGCCTGATGGATAGAGCTTCATCAGAGCTAAACAACAAAAGAAATCTGAAGCTCCTATGTTGAACAGTTATAAGCATTTTTGCATGTCCACATACCCCCACTTTGAAAGGAGCCCCCTCCTCAAATATGGGGTCTATCGTAAAACCGTTGACTGGCGCAGTGTAGGCCTGGCTCATCTACAGTCCTGACAAATTTCATGATGACCGGTGCAGTCGTTTTTGTGCTACGGTTGACCAAAAATCTCCGGAGAAAATAAATAAATAAATGAACAGTATAAAAAAATATGACTCCTGCTTACGCTACGTGCAGGGATCATAATAATCTTTATTGTCTACAAATGTGGAAATTTATCTTTGGATTCACATGGTTTTAAAAAAAATCACAAACCAGCAGTGGTGGGCATAGCCTGGCCTTTGACTTCCTGTGCAATTACGCTCCATTCTAGTTTCCCTTCACTGCTCCGTCTGGGATTTTTCTTCTATAGACAAGGATTTTTCTATGCAGTGTCTGCTTGTAGTTTATTTTACCTGGGCCAATCAGCAAACAGAAGGMGGRGYTTTGAACGAYRTCAATTTTCTGYGCAGTGTCTGCTTGTAGTTTATTTTACCTGGGCCAATCAGCAAACAGAAGGTGGAGTTTTGAATGACGTTGATTTTCTGCGCAGTGTCTGCTAGTTAGTAGTTTAGCTATGGCAGTGGAGGAAGTGAATGAAGCCAAGCCGTGTTGATAAGGCTTCCAAATTAAATTAAATTTGTCTGACAAAGCAGCAGCTCTCATTTACAGTCGTCTCATTTGGCTCGGTACTTTTCTCCTCTCAGTAGGGTTGTTTACAGCGCAGGCAATTTCCGGTTAGCTTCTTAGCTTAACCTCCTTCTCAGTGGAGCTGGCGTACACTTACATCGCGGCCAACCGATCCAATCGTTTTAAACTTCAACAGAGGCCACGCCTCCAGCAAGAATCACTTCTCTATAGCCAAGAGTCCAGACCCTCGTACAAAGCAAAGTGAAGGACAAGGGTCTGATTTTAACCAGGCTATGGTGGGCAGCACTAATCTAAAAATTAGTTCCACTAGCCCTAAAGCACTAACTCATATATTTAGGTCCCCTAATTCTAARGCACTAAAATAACCCAGTCAWCCCATGAACATGTTGCTCTCTTAAGACYTATCATTGACACAGCCTTATTTGAGTTCACATATTGTCACCTGGTGGATAAGTGACACACATATATGAACAAAATGTGTGACAGTTTYCACCCTCAGCTGTTAAAATTAACGTTGATCAATAACATTTAAAGACCTCAGTTAGTGCTTCTAAATTTAGCAAGTGCTAAYCCACTAATAAATTTTAAAATTAGCAAAAGCCCTAAAGCACTAATCAGGAAATTAGTTCCCCTTATTAGTACTTTAGTGCTTTAGGGGATCTGTGYCCACCACTGCAGACCAGCAATGGGTGTGACTTCAGATCTGGATAATGGTCAACAACTAAATACTATTATTGCATTTGGGATAAATGAGGTCTTAWAAATTGCTCTTACTGCCCTGTACCGCCTTCCAGAAGGAAACTTAACAAACTCCCAAAACTGTGWATTTGTTTGGTCTGCCRTTTATGWAATTCTCCCAGCAGCCTTTGCTCCGTGCTGATGATCTTATTGGCCATACTGATAACTCTGGACAGTCTACTTTMGTCCTTCACCTGTAGGTGCTCTTACCAGGCGCACAAAATAGAACACTTTATATGTGCATCTTATATACCATATACTGTCTAATGTAACCACAAACTTTATATTTGCTTTGAGCTGTTYTTTGGTTCAGTCTCRGTGACAGGTGCTCACAAATCATTACTCCCTGCCTCTCTCTGTCTCTCCTTTGCATGCTTTAACCCCCACCCCCTCCCCCCCACAGCATCAGCGGAGCTAACTGCATCAAACAAAACACATCATCCCGTCCCTGGAGTGAGTTTGACTGGTAAGCACACACACTAGCAAGTCGTTAATTAGGACTGATGGCCTCTGCCTGCAGACAAGGACCATGAAACCACACACCCTGGAGGCCTAACATCCTCGACCCCGGCTCACCGGACGAAAATGTTCCATAACCCAATCAATGCAACTTCACTGAACTGGTGCAATCCGCAATATTGATATTAAGCAGCACAGATGCCCAKTCATTTGTCACAATCCGGCTGTATTGAATACCTGTCAACATAATATGTATGTAGTGCCTGTGCAGGCTAATCAGCAGCGATCTAGTGGAGATAAAGTGTGTAATATACAAGAGTGGAGACAGAGGAGCACCAGATAGTGAACGTAGACCCGAGGCTCTGCCGTGTCTATTGTTCAGGGACCTATTGATCTAATTGATGGCTAATGACAWTGGTTAAGCTCTGGCTCCGAATGAATAAGGAGCCTGACAGAAGGAGCTCAGGAAAGGTTCAGGCTGCAAAAATTATGGCATCAGATAGCATTTATAGCAAGCAGTCATGCTAAGCCCCAGGGTCTCTTAAAGGGAAAAAAGAAACACCGTTTCTCTCGTAATAGGGATGTAAATTTCTCCCTGTGAATATTACTTTCTTCCTACAATGCAACCACAGTTTAGCTGTAAACACTATTACCTAGCAGCAACTTGTGTTATTATGTTTGCCTGAAAAGAGTTTTGTAGAATTTTTGTTTTTTTTAATCATTTTAAATATCCATTCTGCAATAATCTCTTTTATTTCCCTTCTTCCTCACTTTGTAGGAAACTCATCATCTGGGTTGATAGACCTCTTCCTCTGTGGGCACTGCAGGTTAGATATATCATTACATTCCTGTGTAAACAGGATCCATCTTTTGTTTTTCTGTACGGAGASCAACATGCAGACACAATTTAAAGACCAGAATCAAATTGGTCACTTTAGGGGGTCAGGATCAATAAAAAGCACGCTGCAGATGAATCAGCAAATCAGATTCTGGACTGTTTGGGTCAAAAGTGTGAAAGCTTTTTTTTCTGAGCAGTTTTTTGTGCTTTGATGGAATATACAGTTCTGATGGAGTCGGATGCATCTATTCAGTCAGTCAAGCAGARTACAGCGTGATCATTATGACACGTCACCTATCAGTGGTTTTACCATCACAGCTGACTGGTTTTACAGGTGCATGCCAAAATGTCTCGCATTCTCTTCATTGTTTAATTGGTAAATTAAATTGGCRTTGTGTCAATTCAGGGTTTTTACCACCGGAGCTCAGAATATTGCAGCTGGCATGTGTTTACACTTTCAAAATGATGCCATGCCAACACACGTAYATGTATAAAATCAGACACCAGAATGTCTTTCGGTTCATTTAAACCCATTCCCTCTAAAGCAACAAAAAACCATCAGCCCTCCCACTGATTCCACCCACACTCTCCATCTCTGAGACTCCTAATTTCCCTCTGCTCTGGTCTCTAGCTCGTCTCCCCTCTGTCTCTGCAAAATTGTCTCTTACGCTCTCTCCCTCTCTCTCTCTCTCTCTTTGCAGGTGCTTGTGGCTTTCATCAGCTTCTCAGAAACGATGTTGCTTGTGTATCTCAGCTACAAGGTGAGCCACTCAGGACCCTCGTCGGCCACTCGGAAGCCTTTAGTGATATCTGCTGCTGTGATGTCCACATGTGTGGCCTGTGTGTGTGTGTTTGGATGGGTGGGGGGACAGTTGTAGATGGATGTAATGTGCTCGAGGGTGTTGTTTGTCCGTTTTACACTCCGAGTTTTCACAAATAGATTTTTTTTAGTACTTTTTTTATCATCGACGTCTCCTCTGCTCCAGCAGTTGGACGGGCCTTGAGGCGTTTTCGCGATATTCTGTTATATATCAGCGAGACTTTGGGGGACRCCCTCGTGTTGAGGCGGTAGGTGGCGGGGCAATCCATCAATGAGCTGCCCTGCTTTTGATGTACTTGACATTGTAAGCCTATGAAGGGCTCACTCCACAGATTACTCCAGAGGCCTTAGCATTTAAAGTGGAATGGTTCCCGTGGACACAAACTGCGACTGTCCACCCACGCCAGTCAGACTCGGGTCCGCCACATCATAAAAACAGCCAAGCCTGACATCTTAGCTGAACAGCAAGGCTTAGCGGAAACAGACTAATGCTTCTTCTCCTCTCAAGTGACTCAAGGGAGTTGTAYAACCTGTTCACATCTCGGTCTTTTCTCTGGCGCAAAAGCTCGTCCATTTGCCTCATTTCCACTCTGATCCATCAGGTCTGTTAATCCCTGAAGGTCATCAGGACAGGGACACTTCCTGACCCTCGTGTGTGGTTTGTGTTTCCAGGGCAACGTTTGGGAGCAGGTCTTACGTGTCCCATTCATTCTGGAGATGATCAGCACCGTTCCCTTCATGATCACTGTGAGTGCCGAGATAAGCATCGCCGAGCACTGACAGCACAGGAAGTCTCTCCGTCAGCCATTTGTTTTGGTTCTTACAAGGCTAATGTCTGTGTCAGAGTCACGCTGATGGTGTCACAGCTACTGACATAATCCTTCGTCTCACTGGAAAATAAGAGACTGTGCAGCATAATAAAAAGGTGATGCGATGGAGAGCCAAGTGAGCTTTTTTTCTTCTTCTTGACAGGTGATTCTGCCCTCCCTACGAAACCTTTTCATCCCCGTATTTCTCAATTGCTGGCTGGCCAAACATGCTTTGGAGAACATGATAGTAAGTGAAGCACTTCATTCTAAGCTCTTTTTTTTTGCTGGCATGCAGCTCCCCCATCCTCACAATTCAGCCCACCAGCTTTATTTTAAACACTCTGTGTGAAAGTAAATCTGTCAGAAGATAAAAGAAATCCCTCCTGCCTCCATCTCTACTTCTAACTTGGGTTGTTTCTCATGTTTTTTGGAGATTTTCTCTGTTAGATACTGATATTCCAATGCTTTATGATTTTAATCTCATTCTGTCACACTTCTCCATCAATTCTTTCCAACTAGGGTTGCAACAATACACGTTCCCGTATCGAACCATATCGAACCGCGCTTTAGGTTCAATACACACTTGTTTTGAACAATACAGATTTTTAACATTCATTGTATCAGCTTGTCTTCTGAAGATGCTCTGTGTTGAAGGATCAGTGGCTCTTTGTTCGACTACTCCACCTAGGCTGCATTGTCGAGCGCAGATCCACTGAGAAACTTGCTGTTTCAGCATCATTTAATTTAAAAA